GGCTCTGTGTACGCATGAGGGACTCTGTGCACCCAGAATGTACTAGAAATAGATAAAGAGGATTCCAGGGGAATTAGGAAATCAGAGGGTGTAGACAGGGCAGATGAAAGGAGATGGAGGAAGAAGCCTGGATTTAATTCAAAATCTTATTTACACACATTAAATCACACATACACCCAAATCTCAGATTTTTATGTGGCATTTCGCATGTTCCATTTATGATTAGTAGTCCACAGGAAAAAATTAAATGCTACAATTAAATAAGTATGCTTTTCAGGGCCATTTTGTGGGAGAGAAGAGAGGCTGTGTTGGGGTTCAGAAAATGATGCTCCACAATGACGGCCCCAGCAGCCTCAGGAGCAGTTTTCCTCTGGCCTCCTCCTGTCTGCGCCTCTCAGTCCCATTCTCCACAGAGACAACCCGAGAAACTAGACCCCCTCCCCACCAAGGAGGGTCCCACAATCCAGAACCCTCTCCCAAAGCCAGCCAGAAAACCTAAAAATATGACTAATTATCCCTCCACCTTTCTGTGTAAAAACTGTCCATTAAAAAAAAAATGATCTGACCTGACTTGTTTGACTTAGGACAAACTTCATTTGTCCTAAGACCCCCCATTCCACACTCCATTCCTGTCCCCACCCAGAAGGAAGGAATGCCACTTAGAGAGGCAAAGAAGCATCTAAATAGACAGGCTTTGCAGGGTACCCTCCTCTATCAGCACTGGCTCAGAGATGCCAAGGAGCACCTAGACAGATGATCCTTGTGGAGTCTCCTTGTCTATTAGCACTGGCTCCCACTCTTTTTGTCCACTCCTGTATTCACAATGGCTGTCTATGCTTTATTGAGCCTACAATAGACAATTTCCCCTGAATCTCTGCATCTCTATTTGAGGACTCCTGTGTTGACATGCATGCCTCCTCTTGTGAAATGATTTTTCAGCAAACCTTCAGAGGACCAAGGAACCTCCCACAGCCCTACAGCCATGTAAGCCCATGTGCTACAACAGCCAAAGCCCCTTATCCAACCTGAACTGACCACCAATCACTTAATGGAAGCAACAGGCAGATGTACCAGAAGGCGGCTTCTGGCCCTGGGTTGTGGGCACACCATGTGCTGCAGGGGTCACAGTAGGCACCAGGGAGACTTGTGAATCCATTATCTAGAGGCTGGGGACGAGAGTCCCTTTACCAGCTTCCCTTCCTATGAGTGACTCCTCAGTACCCAGTTCCAGGATAGCAGGATACATGTCCACCACCCTGGGGACATGGTGATTGGTGCCCATGTGAATCCCACCCCACACCACCAATCTCCTGTGACTCCAACCTGACATGAGGACTGTCTCCCTAGCTCAGGCTCTTCCTGCCCCTGAAGACCTTCCTGTCACCTCCTGGGGGCCTTGGCAGGCTTCCCCTGTACTCTCTCCATCTGGTCTCCCCTTCCCTCCCACCTGCCATCCCGCTGCTCTTCATGACCTTCCCGCCTCCTCTGATTCTCCCTTTCTGATCTTCTCAAGCCCTTCCTCCTCCTGACCCTCTGAGTCCCCTCCCCACCCTTGTCCTCCCCTCAGGGGGCTTGCCCTTCCAACCCTCACCCCAGGTGGATAGAGCCACCTGACCTTCTCTCTTTTCCTGTGCTCCTGCAAGAGTGCCACAGTCTCCACCACCACACTCCTCAGAATGGCTATACGGGAGAGAAACCAGCATCTCATCAGCTGCCCTCCTGAACTTCCTCTTCCTCCCAACATCCCACATGATGAACTGAGTAATAATCCTCATCTGTTGAGTGCTTACTGCATGACAGATGCGGTTCTGTATGGCACATGAGTGCTAACGGTGTACAAGCCTCACAACAGCTCCATAAAGAAGGCACTTGTTTCCCTAATCGATAAAGTAAACTGAGGCACACAGAGAGCCTTCTCATGATCAGATGGTCACCAAACGTCAAGGCTAGGATTGGAATCAAGGCCATCTAGCCTGGACTGAACCCATAACTGCCATGGCCTATGACCTCCCCCTGCCAGTTCCGGCTCCACACTCGTCTCCCCTGCTTTCCTCTCTTGTCCTGTCCAGGCCTGGCAATCTTCCTTCTGCAACGCCTCTCCCTCCATTGGCCCCTCCCATTTCTGCTCTCCTTACCCTTCGGGGATACCCATTTTATTGACTCCCAGCCCTCCTCCTATCATCCCTCTCTGAGTCTACTACACTAGGATTTTTTTTCCCAAAATGAAAATAGCCTTTTGCCCATTGCTTCACAATCAGAAGATTAAAACAAAAAAGAAACTAAAATCCCAAATCATCTAGTCTCTCTGCAGTGATAACTGTTGCCAACACACTGATGCATGCTCCAGAGACTGTTCTCTCTCTTTGCTTATACACAGACATGTAGATCTAAAATTAGAAAGATGGCCAGGCATGGTGGCTCATGCTTGTAATCCCAGCATTTTGGGAGGCTGAGGTAGAAGGATTGCTTGAGACTAGGCATTTGAGACCAGCCTGGGCAACATAGGGAGACCTCATCTCTAGGAAAAAAAAAAAGAAGATCATATTTATTTATTGCATTTTAATTTTTCATTGATAACACTGGGTATTAATTAGTCTTTTTGATATTTGCCAATCTTTAAGATCAATATTTGTTTTTGTTTAGTTTGCATTTTCTAATTACTAGTGATACTGAATAGTTTTTCATAGGTTTAAAGGATTTTGTAATTAAATTCACTAAACCAAGTGATATGACTTTGCCCCATATTTTCTAGTAGTGATCAGACTTTTCTTATTGGTTTGTATGAGTTCTTTATATATCAAGCATGTTAACTCTTTGCTTATCATGTATATGAAAAAATTTTTTCTAAACTATTCTTATTTCAATTTTGTTTATGTTACAATTTGCTGTTGTTATTTTGTTCTATAAATGTTTTTAAGATTTTTTTTAAATCAAGGTCTTACTCTGTCACCTAGACTGGAGTACAGTGGCATGATCATGGCTTACCACAGCCTCGACCTCCTGGGTTCAGATAATCCTTCTGCCTCAGTCTCCCTGGTAGCTAGGATTATAGGTGCATACCACTAAGCTCAGCTAATTCTTATTTTTTTTTAATTTTTTGCAGAGATGAGTTCCACTATGCTGTCCAAGCTGGTTTCAAACTCCTGGGCTCAAGTAATCTTCCTGCCTTGGTCTCCCAAAGTGCTGGGATTACAGGCATGAGCCATCATGCCTGACCACATTTTTAAGATTTCTGTGTAGCCATATATACAATTTTTAAGTTTTCTGTTTTCTGTGTTTGGTGTTCTGTGGCTAGATTATGAACTTTAATGCCCAAGTCTGACTGTGTGCCCCATAACAATCAGTGGCCCACACCCCTTGGCCTGCAGGTGAACTCCCTCCTTGGCATGTCCCATTTCAGATTACTTCTGGCTCCCCTCCTTCATACGATTTATACTCCATTCAACACAATAAACTACTAGTCCAAAAACTCATCCTTTCCTTCACCACGATTAGAAATTATGAGGAAAAACATAAAAAGATTAAAATAGTGACTAGAGGTAATTAAAATAGATGAATGTGATAGTCTTCAAATTACCCCTTGGAAATCATATTTTTCTAAATCAGAGGAGAATACACCAGGCCCTTGCCTCAAGGATCCTGCATGCCTGGGAGAAGGGAGACAGAGGTCTTCCTGGGCATGGAGGTTCTCCTGTTCCCCCTCTAATGTTTCCAGGTGGCATGACAGGCCATCATGACATGGGTGGGCTCCCTTGTCCCCCTCTAACATGTCCTGGTGATATGACAGGGCATGACATGGATGAGCTCCTTACTCCCCTCTAATGTGTCCAAGTGACATGACAGTTCTTGACATGGGTGGGCTCCTCTATGCCCTCTAATGTGCTGGTGACATGACAGGTTATGACATGGGTGGGTTCCCTTGCCCCTCTCTAATGTGTGCTAGTGACATGACAGGTCTTAACATGAGTGGGCTCCTTCGCCCCATCTAATATGTCCTGGTGACGTGACAGGTCATGACATGGGTGGGCTCCTCTGTGCCCTCTAACGTGCTGGTGATGTGACAGGTCATGACATGGGTGGGCTCCCTTGCGTCTCTCTAAAGTATGCTGGTGACATGACAGGTCTTGACATGGGTGGGCTCCCCTGTCCCCCTCTAACATACCCAGATGACGTGACAGGTCATGACATGGATGGGCTCACCTGCCTCCTCTGTGTCCAGGTCACAGAGCTGCATGAAAACCCCCCGGGTCAAGCCACCACATGGGCAGGCCCCACACCTCAGTTCACCAGAGCTGACCAGCGCCACGTGGATCTCCCAGTCATCTCTACCCCTCAGTTCACAGCCAGCGCCATGTGGATCCTCAGGCAAGAAGCACGTCAGCTCCACCTCTTACAGGATGCACCATGTCTTTCAGGTGCTTCCCGTGCTCTCTTGGCCTCCTACAACCTGCATGCATTGTCTCTCCACCTTGAGGGCAGGGGTCTCACCCCATATGGAGTCCTCCTCCGGCACCAGACAGAGGGCACTGGGTGGTCCTTAGTCAACGTACTAGTAAAAGTGTGGCATGAGGCCAAATGATGCTCGTCATGGCAGCCACCCCCTGAGGCTTGCTTTAGGAAGGTCTTGAGACATGCACATCCCATGCTAGGTTGGGTGCAGGCTACCATCATGGGTCAGGCTCTGCCTTCAGCTTACCCAGAGCTTATCCTACCCACAGTTCCCAACCTCCGCCCCTGCTAATCTGTCTGGGTGTTAGATCTGGCCAAGGCACAACCTAAAGACCCGGCATGTGCCCTGGGGCACTAATGAGTGCCTCTGAGTGGTGCCACCTTCTGGGGAAAGAATACAGCGTCCCTGTGGCACCCTGACCTGGGACAAGGCTATGTGGGCCTCTTGCTCAGGTTGCAGTGCACTGCAACCTGCATGACCACAGTGGCTGGCATGGCCCAAGCAGAGGCCAACACAAAGTCCCCAGCATGGAGAGGCCAACACGTCCTACCTGGACATTCACATCCGCGCCGTTGTTCACCAGCAGCTCGAGACATAGCGCGCCATGTGTGGAGGCAGCAGCAAAGTGCAAGGGTGTGAAACCGCCAGTGTTGGGCTGGTTCACGTTGGCGCCATAGTCCACCAGCTCACTGACCACCGCATCCTGCCCATTGTAGCAAGCGATGTGCAGCGCCGCATTGCCATACGCATTGGCCTCATCGATCTGCAAGACAGGTAATATAGCGTCAGGGCTGCCAGGCAGTCAACCTGCCCAGAGCCCCACACCCAGCCAAAGAAGAAAGTGGCACATCAACATCATGGCTAGGAACCCACCTGGCCTGGCCTGGACATCCTGGAATGCGTGTCGCCTAGGCAGAAACCAGTGAAAGTGAATGCGACAAAGTAGTCCAAGAGGAGGAAGGAGGAGCAAGGGGGCTTCATGCCAGGCAGGCGCCTCTGGCTAGGGAGGGGATCAGAGGCAGGTCATGGCTGCCTCTGGGGCACAGGGACCCATCAGGACAGGCAGTGGCAGGGAGGTGGCCATGAAGCCCAGACACAGAAGGCAGGTCAAGACTCACTTGGGTCTTGCCCTGGAGCCCAACGCCCCAGAGAGCTGCATGTCCTGAGGACCGTCCAACCCATGGCTCCCTAATGCTCTGAGACCTGCCTGGCACTGGGTCTCACCCTTAGAATCCCAGGACAGCACCCAGGTTTTCCTTTCCTCCAAGGTGAGATGTTCTCACCTCATCTCCCCAACTGCTCTGCCACCTGAGAGGGAGCACAGCAGCTAGTGTCATGAGCTCAGCATGGGAAGCAGCTACAAAGTGTCCCCATTACGGTTTAGTCATTGCCACCATGAGCCATGGCATAACCAGTGAGATTCTGAGGTAGGTGAAAAACCTTAGCCAGTCTTTTTTTTTTTTTAAACTTTGGGTTTTTTTTTTTTTAGAGTCAAGGTCTCACTCTGTCACACAGGTTGGACCATAGTGGCATAATCACAGCTCACTGCAGCTTTGACCTCCTAGGCTCAAGTGATCCTCTCACCTCAGCCTCTTGAGTAGCTAGGACTATCGATGTGAGCACCAATACACCCAGCTAATTTTTTAAATTTTTGATAGATGGAGCATCTTGCTATATTGCCTGGGCTGGTCTTGAACTCCTGGACTCAAGTGATCTACCTGCCTCAGCCTCCCAAAGTGCTGGGATTACAGGAGTGAGCCACCATACCTGACTTTTTAGCCAGGCTTTCAAAAATGAATGGTTCATATATCTTATATAGACTCAATATGTTGGTCTATTTATCTTTTTATGTTTTATTTCTTTTTATTTTTTATTTTTTGAACTGGAGACTCACTCTGTTGCCCAGGCTAGAGTGCAGTGGCATGCTCACAGCCACTCAGCTGACCTGCTGGGCTCAGGCAAACCTTCCGCCTCAGCCTTCCAAATAGCTGGAACCACAGGCATGTGCCACCATGTCCAGCTGATTTTTTTATTTATTGTAGAGATGAGGTCTCACCATGTTGCTCAGGCTGGTCTCGAACCCCTGAGCCCAGATAATCCTCTCGCCTCCACCTCCCAAAGTGCTGGCATTATAGGAATGTTGGTCTATTTATCTATGTTGATATAGAAAGTTCATCTGTTTCCAGTTTCCACCTGCTTAGTGTATGTGTCATCCCTTCATTGGTTGCCCATGGAAACGACAAAGACACATATGGGACAGTGAGTTCTCCCCTCCTTGAGTTAAAGTGGACCAGGATTTGATCTCAGAGAAGCAGAAGCCACAGGCACTCCAGCCACGCCACAACAGGCCTGGCTCACCTCCACTCCCAGGTTCAGTAGATGCTTGACCACACCAATCTGCCCATTGGAGGCCGCAGCGTGCAAGGGTGTGTAGCCCTTCTTGTCCTTGCAGGTCACCTCCGCACCGCGGTTAATGAGCAATGCCACAACATCCAGATGGCCTTCACAGACGAAGCAGGAGAAAACCTTGTTAACCACATGGACAGACCGGTGCCTCATCTCACCCTGATTATCATCATTTGCTTTTGTGGCCACCAGGATTGTGCTGAACTACTTATAAAAGGCCAGTGCCTGGCAAATGTTCAACCGATGGCCACTGGGAACCTACTGTGTGGAGGACACTATGTAAATGCTGGGGAAGAAACAAGGTGATTTGCGAGGAGACCCAGTGGTGCCCGTCACCGTGTCCCAAGTGATAACCAGGTCCAGCCAAGGTGCTAGCACCCAGCTGAACACAAGTTGTTCCACTGGAAGCAATGCTTTGCAGACAATTGCCGTTCCTCCCTGAGAAGTCTAACGATGGCAAGTTAGTTTGGAAAAACTGATGAAAGAGAAAAGTCAATGAGTCAGAATGAACCCAGATAACTAACTGTTAGGTCATAGGAAATTACTGCTGCTTAACTGCACCTTGACCCACAAAAAAGGCTTAAGAATTCTCATGAATTAGTAGCTTAACAGAAAACCCTTCTAGTTTCCACTCCTGTTGGCATTTCTTCTATAATACTTTCCTCTGTTCTGTAGCTCACTGTATTTTGTATGGTAAACACATTTGAGCTTTATTTCATGAGTGAAGACTGTTTGATGGTTCAAGGTCATTGCTCTAAGCAAGGCTGACAATTGAAGGACAGAAGATAAGTCCTGTCTCCAGGACTCAGAGTGTGAGTGAGTGTGAGTGTGAGTGTGTGTGTGTGTGTGTGTGTGTGTGTGTGTGTGTGTGTGTGTATGTGTGGTATTGGCTTGTTTTATGAAAATTTAAATCCTTTCTCCACAAGACTTGCATAGAAAAAATTATTTGAAGTTCTACTGGCGCTCTAATGGTGCCAGCTATGTGTGCTGGTTTTTCTAATTATTTCCTAAAGATGATCATCTATACATTTTTTCCTGTTTGTACCCTGATGACTGAACAGTGGCCTCACTTCCTCAAAGTCATTTACCTGAATGCTTTTTCTATCTTTACATCTGCAAGGAACACACCTGAGACCTCTGCCTCTTGGAATCCTGTCTCATACTGGCTTAGCATGTGCATCTACTTCCTAGCCCCTGTCACCATCCCATCCCACACACCACACAGGCTTCTAACCTTCCTCAGTCACCTAAGAAACTCACACGGCCTCTTAAAAAAAATGCTATGCTTGTAAAACTTTAAGATTCTGTTTTTTAAGCCTGAGGATTTATGCAGACCCATCTATGGACACATAATTACCTCATCCCTGCCCCAACCCACTGTCCTACCCCTACATTTAATGTGATGATAAAAGGTATACATGTTTGTTAAAAGGGATTCAGAAGGGTAAAAAGGTCTTAAAGAGAAGCCAGAATCACCCACAGTCACCAATTCCTGCAGACAATCAGTTACCATTTCAGTATATGATTTCAAGGTTTGTTTTTACTGTATGGAGTTTTCATGGAAACAAGGATCCTATTGCTCATACTGTTCTACATCTGCTTTCACTTGACATGTCACAGAACCTGTCCGTGGTAGTAGCCACCCATGGACACATCCCTGCAGTTGCTGCAGCACTCCCCCATGCAACTTCTCTACGATTTACCCAGCTGTCTCCCACAGACTGATACGCAGGGCTTCGCAACCAGGGCTGATGGAACCCTGCCTTCCTCCTAAGGGAGGGTGTGCTCCAGCAGGACACCAGGGTATCCTAGGTCTCCATTCTCACATGTCTACACTGGGGGGCTCTGTGAGGCCTGGCATCTGTCAGTAGCATTAGAGCTGACAGAAGCAGAGAGGAGAAATGTAGAGATGCGGCCTTGTCCCATTACGCTTCCACCCCCGGGCAGGTCCGACTTAGGACCATGAGGGAGAACCTGCATACTCCACAGGGACTCTAGTCACCAACACCCCAGAGCAGCTGGGTTTGTCTTTTCTTCCTTCCTTTTTGTTGGCTTCAAAAGTATTTACAAATAAAGACAAATGGAACGAGTGGTCCTTGCTCTGCCAGCCAGTCTTCTTTTTTGCAAAGCACCTATTTTGTTGCCATGCCACATTAACACAAGCACAGTGTGAGCACCCGTCCAGCCCACACAGAAGCACACTCAGGCCCAGGCTGAGACTCGTGCTTCCTCTTGCTTGAGGACAAATAACTCTCTGACTGAGCGATCACTAGAGTGGCTATGCTGCCAGTAAAATGAACAGAATCTTCATTCAGTTGGAACCCAGTATGAAAGAAGCCAGGCTTGCCGAAGAGAAGGTCCCCAGCAGCGAGAGGCCTGGGCATGCTCACCCATGGGTCCCGCGTCCTGTGCCACATGGTCCTTACCCACGTACACCACCCAGTGCAGGGCACACCAGTCCTTACCCATGTACGCCGCCCAATGCAGAGCGCGCCGGTCCTTCTTGTCAAAGGCGTTGATATTCGCCCCCTTGGCCAGGAGCAGATTGACCATCTAAAAGAGAACAACACCACATCAGCAGCCCTCTCAATGGTATGGGTTCCTGCTGCCCACGAGTGACTGAACCTAGTGACCACCAGCTCTCCAGCAGAGTGGGAGTTCTGACATAGCTGGGAAAGGACATCACAGCAGCCCCTGGGGCCTATGTGTCAGAGGAAGGAGTGAAATGACAGCCCGCTGTTCAGTCACCACAGCTCTGAATTTGGGAGGAGACACAGCTAAAGCTTTGGTGTACAGACACTGTCAGTCATCTTAAGGCCTCAGCAATCAGATCCGCTCCCTTCAAGGCTAGAAGGGTCTGCAGGGAGCACTCTAGCCCTGGGACAGGAGCCCACCTCCACATGGCCATTCAGGGCTGCATGGTGCAGAGCTGTGCGCCCCCCACGGTCGGACACGTTGACACTGCTAAGCATGGGAATGATGGCTTCCGCACACTTGACAGCTTTGTTGGCCGCGGCCACGTGAAGGGGTGTCTGCCAGTTCTTATCCCGAGCGTTGACGTCCGCCGAGTGTTTGATCAACACTTGCACAGCTTCCTGCAAAAGGAGCAGAGTTTGCAGGGGTCACTGAGGGACTCTGTCAATGCTCACTGGATCTGAGAAGCTGCACTGGGCCCTGGAACCATGAAGGGAAAGCCTGACCCTGCAGGTAGTCTTGAGACAGCTGGGCAATGTGTGCCAGAGACCAAAAGAGCAGCAAGGACAAAGACAGAGTCACTTCACTCTTCTCTGTCAAGTCAAGGGCTCTGGCCCATCACTAACATAAAATAAGCTTTCTTAGTCTAAGGGTTCCCCATAGGGTGTCAGGTGCCCTTAGGCCACTACAGCCACATGCAAGGGCCAACAGGGTAAGACACCCATGCCCCAGAAGTTCCCAGGGAGCACCCAGGTTGGAGGAGCTGTCAAGAAGTTTCCACACTGCCCAGGCCAAAAGGTTTCAGGGCCCTTCAGCCATACCTGGTCTAATTGATAAGTCTCTGGTTCCCACTGCCAACATCTCACTCTGTCTGCTCAATACACGGTCATGGGAAGTCACGTTTCAACTTGAAGCTACGAATGTTTCCCATTTCCCCCCCTTTCCATGTTATAATGAGTGACTTCCCTTGCCACTGCTGAGGTTCTTCACCTTCATCATGTTGCCCACGTTTCATTTTCCTTCTGTTGACCCCACCGCTCACCAGCCTCTTGATCTCGAACTTTCAACACTAGTTGTGCAATGAAATCACCTGGGAAGCCCTTAAAATTACAGATGCCTTAAATGGGTATGGTGGCTCACACCTATAATCCCAGCACTTTGGGAGGCCGAGGCAGGAGGTTCGCTTGAGTCCAGGAGTTCAAGACCAGCCTGGGCAAGGTAGTGAGACCCTGTCTCTACAAAAATTTTTAGCAATTAGCTGGGCAAGGTGGCACATGCCTGTAGTCCCAGCTACTCGAGAAGTTAAGGTGGGAAAATCACCTGAGCCCAGAAGTTCGAGGCTGCAGTGAGGTATGATTGCACCACTGCACTCCAGAGTGGGTGTCAGAGCAAGACCCTGTCTTAAAAAAAAAATGCAGATGCCTGATCCAATCCCAGAGATTTCAGTGGGCCTCTGCATTCCATAAAGTCCCCAGGGACTCTCTCCTCTTCATCAAGTGACTGGTGTGGCTCCTCTCAAGGGAGAAAGACTCTTGGTTGCTTCCCACTACTTAAAAGTCTGAAACCAGTTAGAGCAGCTCCTTTGTGGACATCTTGTTAATGTGGCATCAACAAACTCATGAAAGGCATCAGGGTCACATTACTGCCATGCTTCATGAATCAAGAACCTGGCCATACCCACCTCAATACTGGGGCTGGACCATCCAATCAGCTTTATCATGCAGTTGTATACAAGTGCCCCAGATGGTAGATGATTTGAATTTAGCAAAAATTTTATGAGGGAAATAAATGATGAGATAAAAAGAAAGTTCCATGAATCAATAGTAGCAATATATAGAGATGAATGGCTAACTTGGGCAGTAGAAAAAAAGAAATTAACTGTAAACTAGACAATATAGTCTAAAGAAACAGTGTGATAATTGAAGGCTACTCCATGTCGATGATATAATGAAAAGGCAATAAGTCGAGGCTCCAAGCAAACAACTTTTTAAGATTACCAAAAAAAGAAAAAAAAAAAAAGACTCATGCTGCCCATCCTCAGAAAGATTGACAGTAAGTATGACTAAATATTTCAGGATCCCATTTTAGAGTGAAACATGTCATTGCATGATTAATGTTCATCTACTAAGCGTGAAACTGCTAGAACTATGAAAGATGGAAAGAAACAGGAGCTGGGCTTTAGACTAAAAACTAGTTAACGGAACAAAAATAAATAAAAAAAAAAACTAAATCACCATATAAGATATAAATCACAAAATAAGATTAGGATTAGAATTTAAAATAATAATACTCTTACCAACTTCGGTCTCATCAATTGTCAGGCTTATATAGATGCATAAAACCATTGAATGCAATGTAGGAGGAAGACCCTGAAAGTTCCATTTATATTTCTTTTCTTTAAAAAAGGAAGCACTATAAGAAAGAGATTGGCAGTAGTGGGAAACTACCAGGGGAGAGTGGGGGCAGGACTGGCAACTGTGGGGAACTGCCAGGGAAAGGGGAAGGCACACCTCATCAACAAGGGTCCCTGCATAATGAACATTTCTATACCTAACCCTGAATTGTACCCTTCATCTTTAAAATAAAAATTAATTTTAAAAAAGAGAAAGCACTTTAGCTGGAATCTACCCTCAGGGCTGGCCCATGTCCCATGGACTGGGACAGAAGTCCCATCTCACTGTCATGTCTGAGAGGCCTCAAGAAGAGCATGGCTTGCCCACTCCATTCATGTGCTCCACATGCACTGAGGTATACCAGGATGAGCTACCAGGTTGGTTTGCAGATTTAAAATGCACCTTTAAACTAAAAGAACCAAAGTGGACAAGATTATCAAAAAGAGCTCACAGATTAAAGACAATCTTCACAATGCAAGCATAAACAAGAAGAAGTCACAGAGCTGAAGGTTGTTACTGCTCAGCAGGAAGCTTTCTATCATCGACATCACAGGGGAAGGCAACAGCAAATTTAATAAGATCTGATGATAACTTAGATCAAGAAAGTCACCGGAAGTCAGCTCTCTACATGGTTATATGAAACTAGATTCAATGAAAAGCTTCACCCCAAGTAAATTGTGCCTTGAAGTATTAGCTAGTTCATATATATGATTTATAAATAAGTGAGATGCCTATTGAGGATGCATGCCAAAACCGTTTTATGGTTATTTGATTCAAAAGGCTGGAGATCACCATCTTAAAGCAATATTGTAAGAAGTAGTACAAGGGTATCCTTTTCACACATTCTAGCAAAATAATAATAAACACTGTCACTTGAACATCTGTAACCTGGGTGTTGTTTTACCGTACTTGGATCGAACATAAGCGCAAGGGCCACTCCGGTACCCAGGACACATGGCGAATCCTGATCCTTCAGAACCCTTGTGTCTTCCTTCGAGAGCAAGCACCCATGAGAGTTTTGCCTCCCTCCTGAGCAAGACACCCCAGTTAGCACTCTGAGGACCGCAGGCCGGGCTGGTGACACCCCACAGCAGACGGCCGCCCACAGGATGTGCACCACAGAAATAATTGGCAGGGACAGAGCTGTCACAGATGTCCTCTAAGAGGGAGCTGGAACTGGCATTGCAGCAACTTGAGTTCCATTTCTTAAGACTTTTTTAAAAATAAAGGGCCACTCCAACATTGCAATAGGAAGAAGAAACATAAACTGTGGCACATGGAAAAAATGAGAAGAAACAGGACACGTATGTCCTAAAGTCTGTCACTCTTAAGGTGCTTCTTTGCCTCAATGGTGTGTTACACTCAAGTGGTTGTGGATGACTCCTGGGGATGTGATCGCTTCTGACTGTACATGGCCTTACAGGCATAAGCAAAGTCAAGTTGTGTAAGTTCAAGTTTCTTTAACAAGGTCTGGGGCTACACAATCTTCCGTACTTGCCAACATGTTGGGGTAGATAAACACATTGCTATAGTCCTCAATAAGCCCTGTAAATGAAAATGTGTCAGCAGCGAGACACTGGCCAAGACGGACATCCCTGAGGCTGTACTCAATCCTGAAGGTATGTGCTGTGTCCCCATGGTCACCCTGAGCTGGTCTCCCATGTTGACTACAGCAATTTCATAATCTGTAAGAACTGTAGGCCAGGCTCGGTGGCTCAGCCTGTAATCCCAGCATTTTGGGAGGACAAGGTGAGTGGATTTCCTGAGCCCGCAGGTTCGAGACCCACCCAGACAACTTGGTAAGACCTTGTCTCTACAATAAATCAGAAATTAGCCGGGTATGGCAGCGCGTGCCTGTAGTTCCAGCTACTTGGAAGGCTGAGGCAGAAGGATCACCAGAGCCCAGCAGGTCGAGGCTGCGGTGGCCAGGAGTATGCCACTGCACTCCAGTCTGGCGACAGAGTGAGACTCCAACTCAAAAAAAAAAACAAAACTGTATACACTGGTGTCCAACCTACATATTCAGATAATGGGATTGTTACTCTTAAAGGACAAAACACCAGACTAAACTTATCCATTGAAGTTTTAATTATTATTAGAGGACAATTACTCCATGAGCTAACAGTGCAAAGTGCTTTACTGGAGACTCCAGTATACACAAGAATTCTCAGGGAGTATTCAGGAAGTACCAGCTTCAGCCATTAGGAGGGGCAGATGCCCATGTATCCTATCTCCAATCTCAGGTTTGAGTGTAGCATGTGGAACACATGCATCAGAATCCTCTTTTTATGTTTTAATTTTGTTTCCTCTTTTAATTTTTATTTAAAATTGTGGGGTACATTTAGGGCTAGGTATACAAATATTCACCGTGCAAGTACCCTTATCGATGAGATGTGCCCCCCCTTCCCCAGGCAGATATCGACTACTGTCAATCTCACCTC